TATATGAAAGAGACCTGGTGCAGGCGACTGGAATGCGATGCTAAATTCAAATTTGTGCTGTACACTTATTGGCACATTAAGCTACTACTACTCCTAAGCAAGTGCACAATTCTGTTATTAAAGTATGGTCTGGAATAATCTTTCTATGGAGTAAGTTCTCTTGAATGGCAGCGTTATTCCTGATAGCGCAGAGGACTCCGAACCTGGGAGCCTGAAAGCTCGAAAAACGAAACGAAAATTTGTTCGTTATAAATCACTAGCACGTCAAAACGCCGCCACCACAGGCAAAATGTGTTATTTTTTTGCAAGTGACTTTACAACAGGGCATTTTTAAATGCCGATGCCTCAGCCCACCTTATTTGGACTGACAAAATCAGGGAATTTTATTCTCTCAAATACTGCAGGTAATGTTTCACCTTGAAATTGCTACTGCTATAGCGCCATGAGTCATATTTTTTTAGCGGACTCGTGACAACAGTTCGGGCTTTTCTTCCTGCAATTAAACCGTGTTTGGAGCATCATTTTTCAATTCCTGTGCTCAACCCCAGTGTTTAAAAATTCATCAAAATTTTTTTTTTGCGTGTGTAATTGTGTGCTTTTGCCGGGAGCTTTGATGTTTAGGCGGTTCAGGCTGGAGGATTTTTGTGGATCAAACTTGCGACATATCAGTGCCAAAGACACTTCCAAAGCGACCTTTTCCAGTTGCTTAACGGTCACGAGTAGTGTATCTTTTATCGCTAACGGATTTTTCGCAGAACTTAAGGTTAATATAATTGACGAAGGTGGCCATAATTTTCAACTCTTCAGTTGGGAATCATCACAGATTCTTCCATCCCCACATACGCACTTATGGCAAATTGAAGTTTAGCATTCAGAAATGGCTGTCCCCTAGGATTGATGTGGCGCTTTGCAACAATCTTTAGGGCTAAAGAAGCTCATGTTAGAGTTGAATGTAAAGTTTTGACCCGCATAAGGCCTGGAAGGTCGCAAGCTTGATCCGAGGGCAACATCATGCGGCAGGTGTTGGGGGGCTGTCTTCATTCCCAGCGCAAGCAAAACGAAAAGTGAAGCAAACGATCAAATTACTGAAGCTTATCTTTCGGTGACAGTTTGGCCAATCGGTGTGACCTGGTATTGACGGTACTTCCAAATGTTTCCTTGCGCTATTAGTAATGATAACAGAATTAAATTTTACTTCAGCATTGCCTCAATTTTCTAATTGAAACCGGTCAACTCGATCCTGGGACCATCCAAACATTTTCACTATCCGCAATTGCACAGAAATGCTAATAGATTTCCAGTTAACTGAATACTTAACCAACTTTGCGGGACTCAGAGAATTGCATTTGCTACTCTTCTGAAACCTTTTAATGAGCCTTCCTACTGCTCTTGTATCACATTAAATTGTTGAAGATTCTGTTGAGTTGGACGTGAAAAGGCGATTGAATTCGAATTTTTTGACTGAGCGAGTAAAGCAGACAAGAGCGCAGATATTGAGGGATGTGGATCAAGCTTAACTACTTTTTGGGTAAAAGCTGCCTCAAATTGTCCCTTTCCCAAAAACTGTTGAATTAATGGCTAAAAATTGTCCAACTCCGTCTTCTGCGAGCACAATAGAGCTTTTGACTTAAATAATGGCTACTTAAAGCCTTTAATGATTTTCATTATCCTTTCTTTAATGAAGATTAATTTCCGTATCTTCACAGCGTATACTAGTCATCTGATTTCCGATTTAAAAATGCAGTTGTTTTTACCTTATTACCAATGAGAAAAATTTATGACGTAACGACACCTTTCAGCCTAAGGCCATTTTAATTGCGAAATTTTCTACATTGTGTGATTGCGATAATGTAAGACGGGTGAGGTATCTGATTTGCTCGTCTATCCTCTAGGTAGGTGATGAGTTGCTGCAGATCAATGGTTTCATGACGGCGGGGATGTCGCATCGCCGGGCTGTGGAAATAATCCAGGCAGGTGGTAATATGATCCGCCTTGGTGTTCGACGTTCCTTCCCACCACCAACTGGTGAGTTAAAGAATCCAGCTGTACCATCGCCGCTGTCACCACCTCCACTCTCTTTCCAACCTTTCGGCCCGATGCCACCCGCACCGTCTCCAGGCCCCGTGGTGCCTCCACCACCAAATCCCCACTCACCGCAGTTCTTCACTCCTCTGCCCGTACACAAACCATCTATTGCATCCCGCCCTCTTCTCTCTTCAGGTAGGCGCTAATTCTCTATCATGCTTCGTTCTCATTTTACGGTTGCTACATCTTCCGTTTGTTTTACATCCCTTCGTGTACCCACTACCCTAATTTCGACTCATATCTGAAGGATCACTTTGATTTATTTAAGTTCTTTTGGCTCACTGAATCATGCGTCAATCGGAGTGGATGTAGCATTCAAATGATGTACGCCTTCGTCTTTGCCACTGCCAAGGAACACTTAGTTGATAGGATCTGTAAAGTGTTTTTCTAAGCTTGTTGTCGAACGACAGCTTGCTTTTCGCAGAGTCCTGAGAATGTTGTACTGCATGCATGGTTCAAGATGGTTTGCTTGAAAGTGGTTGGTGGACGGTTGGAGTGGGTATCTGCAACTTAAGCACCATATTTGTATTTGTGTAGCTTGTAGATTTTTTTAAACTAGTCGACATTTCGAGCTATATGAGATGAGGAATTGCCCTGAATCCAAGCTCTTGTTCTGTTTTAACACCTGTGCGAATTGCTGTCTTCTGTGAAAATGATTCTATGTCAACGTTTCAATCGATTTACGCATGCTCTAGCCCATCCTTTGTTTTTCAACAATTGTTACGCGAATTCGAAAGCCTCAGTGCCCCTTGTTCCATTTGCTTTGACTTTGTGGTCGTTGATTCATAAAGTGAGCGAGCATTGTTAAGCGTCCGCAACATCTTCCCTTTTTGCCTGAGCGCGCTCACCAAGCATGCACAGTTGCCAAATCGTGCATTGACTGAGTTTGAAAGAAATCCAATAGGTGAAGGATGAAGTTGGTTGCCAAACAACTGCACTTTTCTCAGTTTAAGAGCAGCATTTACAATATGCACTTTGAGACCGTAAACTTGCTCTTTGGCGTTGTTTAATATTTCTCTTAGCTCCCAACGCGCGACTTGCTAAATTGCCAGTTTTTGTTGATGGTGAGGTTAGCTTTCGCGGTCTTAGTCCACAATTTCACATTGCTATTGAGATAGTATTTGCATCTTCAGTGGTCCAATAACTAACCTGCGAACCGATCTCCGCTAAACTCTGGTGAGTTTTGATTTCTCGCCATCTGCCTAACACCATCGCAATAAAGCTTACCCTAACCGTTTCTCGTTTGTGTTGTGATTTGTTCGCATGTTTAGGACCAGCTGAATGCATGATGCGCATGATATGCTAGCTTTTTGTAATGCAACTTATAGGGCAGGCAGTTTCGAAACTAATTTAGCCATAGAATGCTTGCAAACATAATTCGTCAATTGCTGCCCGAGATGATCTTAATCCATCATGTGTGGATATTTACATCGGTGCTGCGTTTCAGTAAAGAGTCCGTCGAGACAACGAAGCCTCGTCACTTACCAATCACTGCCCCGACTGTGGCAGAAGCACTGCAGCGGCACCGGTACCTATTCCTCATCCCACCATGATTTTGAAGCCTGGGCCAGTGGACGTGGAGGCCGCTATAATGTCCCGCTTGCCTTCGGTCGATACCACCCCTGTAACATTCAACTCTAAATAATTGCCATACTATCCTCGAAGTGTCTTTTCACTTTCTGTGTTCAGACGTCACTTTATTTTGACAAGCGCTTTTATTGTCTTCTGTTTTTAATACAGAAATACTTTACTACGATCTTATAGTGTTTGTAAATATTTGTTCTGTCCCATAAGAAGCAGAAGTGGGGTAGTTGTGTTAGCGGTATTTAGGAATTAAGTAACTGTCTTTTAGGAGTGATTTTATTTGCCAAAGCTAAATAAGTGGTCATCCGAAAACTAGCCTAAAATTCCATCACTTACACTGTAGTAGCGTGCAGTTAAAATGCAATTATTTTATGAGGATCAGAACAGTTTGAGAGTCCAAAAAGTGCTGGTGCTTAATACACAAAATGCCAATATTAGCAAAAGAGCAAAGTTTTACAGCATAACTTGTCAAAGTAATTGTGATTTATGTACCAAGATTCAGCCAATAGATTCAAAAACAAGGTGTACTGTCTGTTAAAATTATTGCACGTAAATTACTATACATTGGTCAAAAAATTACAGGTGCAAATTGATTTTTTTCCAGGTCTTAGTGTTTTAATATTCGACTTTCATTGCAAAATGTGAGGTCGCCATAACCTTGAACTAAGAGGGCGAAACGGGATGAGTGCGTCCACAGCGAATGTAGCGGTGCTTGTGTTTGGTTGCGTCGTATTTTGCACCATCTACATTTTTATTATTCAGCCGACTGTTTTTTACATTTTTGGACTTCAGCAGCCAAACTTTGGTAGATTTTTTGGGAATAACCACAATTCTTGTTAAGATCGAAGTACAAATAAGGAAAAGGCTCTTTCACAGGTTCATTAGTTCCATTTAACATTCCTCTTTAGCAAGAACATAAGCATGCGCAACAATGCTCCACTACTCTTAAGAAGAGAGACAGAAATCCTGGGATTGTTGCAGCAATCTTACCGTTTTACGCTTTTGGAATTTTTGTCTATTTCGTTTACACCATCGTCAAGGTTAGCATAAAAACCTTTGTCGAGGTCGCGTAACTGGTTCTTATGCATATTTATTTTTAGGTAGGACTTTCTCGAGTTTCATTTAATTCCTTGTTTTTCGGAAATGCTTGCTTTTTATTTAGCTATTAAACAATCGCTGGAAATTTGGCCCAAAGAAAAAGGAGAAACACCTAAAAGACTACTACCATAATTTTCACTATATTCCTGGAAAGGAGAAGTTTAAAATGGACAGCAACTCCTCGGAGGACGAATGTGTTAATGGATCGCTACGTAAAATCGAGACTTCTTATAAATATTCCTTTCAATTTCTAGATGAATTGGGATGGTCACGTAATACGGAAGGCTCCAAGACAACACCCAATGTCTATCGCTCAGTTTCAGGTCTGCCCAAAGACTTGGAGTACTTACTCAAAAAGGCCGACCAGGATAACCTGGGCAAGTAAAACATCCTTATACACATTTGACGTTTACTTCGGTCATCTACTTGTTTTACTTCTGGGGTAGCTTGCAAGCTAGCATCTTAGAACTATGAGATACTCCTATTTTGCGTTATTGCATCGTTTCCATTTTACCATTAAAACCGTCAGAATTACACATTACCCTTCTTCAAGCTGAAGGCGACGGATGTGATTTATCTCGCTTGTACTATAAATAGTCATTAAAATTCTATTTGGAAATCTTCTATGTGCTCTACACTGGGAACATCGCGTCAACATGAAAATAACATGTATGAGCACATAATTAAGAGTCACTTTTTCCTACTAGATGACACGGAGATAACGCGATTACGAATTCGCCTGGAACAGATGGAGTGTGAGATGACTCGTCTTCTGGAAGCTGTGAGCAATTCGGCCACTTTTCTTGCGCAAACTCAGGCTACGGGGAATGAAAGTGGGACGACGAATGGGCAGTCTGCTGATAACCATAGCGACGACAGCGAGACACTCTACTCTGCTGAAGAAAACTGATAGGAATGAGTCTCTAAGGCCTATTTGTTGAATGTACTATTTGCTGATTCGAGCATTTGGACACGGATGGTAGCATCCAGTTCAAAGAGATGTTCTCATTTTCCTATCTACGTGTAATACTGGCCGATGTTAATGAGGATATCAAGGTAGCGCAGATTTGTCAAACATAAAGTATTTCGGGTTTGCATTTTAGGGTACATTGCACCACTCAAACACAAGAAGTTTCTGGAGGTTGATGCGTTAGGACCGTAGGTGCTGCAAAGTGAAAAAAATCCAAATCCTGGTTCATAGCCCAAAACAAGTTGAATCAATGTGAACCAGACCGCAGCGTAAGATTTTGCTGTGAGCACGCATTATTTGGATGTAACAAACACTGTATTTATGATTACACTCTCCCCTTTAAGGTTTGCGCCTGGAGCCATTCAAAATAGACTTGGTGACCCTCTGTAGGCAGTCTGTAACTAGAGCAACATGTTATAAATACAAACTCATGGGTTGCGAGGTACAATCTAGGGTCCACTACCGTCAATACTGGGGGGCGGAAGTAACCTCCATTTGTTTCCGTAAGTTACAGCTAGCTTCTGTTGAAGGAATTTGGGTGCCCAGCAGCAGCATAATTGCGCTTAAAGGGTGGCGACAGCATCCAAAGGGCAACGGAATGCTAAAACTTATACGTGAAAGATAAGGCGGTGGAGGTTTACGATTTATAGGTATATAGCTTTTTTAAGCTTGTAAATTTCGCAAAAAAGGTGCTTTGCAGTGGTAAAAATTGATTTCTTTAAGTGGTTTTAAGACAAATTAGTGTTGTACAAATAAAGAGAGCATACCTTATTTTGTCTAATACGAAGAACTTAGGGCAGACATGAATCGCCCAGCATTTTTTTACATTAAGTTATAATGCCTAAATTGCAAAGCACCACGGAAACATGTTTTTAATTAAGATTTTTTCCTGCGACTAAACAAATGTTTTGTTTAAGTCAACCTACTCCCTTTCAGCTGCTCTCGCCTGAGGCTTCAGTCGGTTTAATGCTTAGGTATGTAGGCGTTTCCTGTGTAGTATTTAGCTTTTTTTTCGTATTTTTTCCTTGCCTTGCTCTGTCTCATAGTGCATGCTTGTGGGGTTAGGCCTTATCCTTGTTTTGCTAGTACTCAAAAGGAAACCTCGCGTGGAATTGACTTAATTGTTTTTGTTACTGAACCCTGTATACAAACTTTTTTGTGAAGTCGCGTTTCCATATGTTTGCACAATGCTAGTTCTGTGAGTGGATCTTGCTTTGAGAGCGGCTCTGTAGATGAAGTTGACACAAATGAGGCCTTGACCACCTTCTCCTATCTGTATTTTGACTAAACATGTCCAGCTTTTTGTTTACATTTTGATGCATTCGCGATAGTATGTATGGAGAATTGGTTAAATTTATGGTCATAAGTAATAACATGATCGCTTAAATTCGTCTTGACGTTATTAAAACATGCATAGAGATCAAATTGTTTTGGACTCTACCTTCTTTTTAAAAGCAATATGATTGCATTCCTAGGAAATTTTTGCCGCTAAAGTATGTGATGGGGTTATAATGCTAATTCGACCGCGTAATATGGCATAGGATTGCATTTCATAGTCTAATATTTTTGGATATTCTTGCCCCTGACATTAATAAATGCTGTTGTATATGCTAGATATTTGGCATTTGTAGTTTACCTTCTATGTCATGTTTTTATAACAGCTAATTCGTGCATTACCTGTTGATCGGTTCGCCCATTTTCCAGCTTGATGGGAGACATTTGTGATCATATCATGCTTGGGGTTGAGGTACGAAATCAAATATGATCGCTTTGTGTTTGATTGCAAATAGTTTGGTCAGTCCATTAAATCTACTTGTGTTCCATGTGAGTGGTATTGAATGACTTTAACTAAATTGCGAATTACCTTACCTTCTCAATGGACTTTCTTCAGAACTCAGGGTGAGCACTTCCAATGCTCCCATCTTCGTCGAATCCATTCCTATTAACTCAAGGACTGTATCAAAATGTTTTTGATTCCCCGACTTCAAATCTGCTTAAAGATACGGATTTTATGTCGCCTGAGAGCCTAAATGGACACATTTACAAGGCGAATAAGTTGAAGATGACGAAGCATGCTGGTGCTTCGAAAAATTTCGGCGCTGGTGACCTTTCTCAAGAATTTCGATCGGGTATTAATTTGCTGTCCGGCCAACGGAGTGTTCATCAGGGTCAGTACAGCAAAAAAAGGAGAACTGATGGGACCTCTCCATACTATTGCAAAAATTCACTCCTTACCATGCCTTCTCACGTTGCCATTATGCAGCCCGTGCTACAGCCAAACTCCTTTTTCAATCAGAACATTTTTAACCACCTGAACGGAGGCAATCGATCAAATGCTTTTGTTCAACCGCAAGCGTTTAATGCCCTTACACAACACAACGGCTTTCCACAATTATCTACCAGCTACGACAGTTTTCAACTGAACTCCTCTACTGGTTCTCCCGGTTATTCAGGACTGTTGAACCCAGTTCCAATAGCAAAAACTCTTTCCATAAATAACACAACGAACAAAGTACCAACTACCTCAACTTTGAAGTCGAATTCTCGCACTGGTGGTAATGATGGAGATTATAACATCGTTGTTGGTGAAGTTCTTCGTTCTCCTACAGAAAGCTACGAAGTTCTTTCGTTTTTGGGTCGTGGTACTTTTGGTCAAGTTGTCAAATGTCAATGTCGAACCTCCAACAGGATTGTGGCCATTAAAATTCTGAAGAATCATCCCTCATATCTTCGCCAGGGCAATGTTGAAGTTCAAATTCTTCAGACACTGAGTCGGCATGATACAGAGGCGCATAACATCGTCAGGGCCATTGAATGTTTTCAACATAGGAGTCACATGTGTTTGGTTTTCGAGCTGCTTGAACAGAATTTGTACGAGTTTCTAAAGTCGAATAACTTTAGGCCTTTGGATCTTCGGGAGATACGTCCTATTGCTCAGCAGGTGCTGACCGCCCTTTCGAAATTGAGGAGCTTAGGTTTGATTCACGCTGATCTAAAACCCGAGAATATCATGCTCGTCTGTCCTACAGATGGTATGATGCGATATCGTGTGAAGGTGATTGATTTCGGCTCTGCATGTCATAGCTCTAAGGCCGTTCAGAACACCTATCTTCAATCTCGTTACTATAGGGCACCTGAAATCCTACTTGGTTTGCCCTTCAACGAAGCTATTGATATGTGGTCTTTGGGTTGTGTTATCGCTGAGCTGTTTTTGGGATGGCCTCTCTATCCGGGTTCTTCCGAATACGATCAGGTAAGTACATCTGCCAGCTTGAGGCAGATACGGTGCTCTCGTTTGAACTTTTAGTGTTGTCTGCTAGTCAGGAAATAATTAGGGGAGTATGGTAGGCAGTGCGCTAATGTTAATCGGTCGGTTTCGTTTGCCTGCTGTTCAATCTGGTTGTGTAGACAGTAATGCATTTACCGGTTAGTCATGTACGTGTGCACATAGGTTCGACACCTATTAACCTCGGATGCACTTCATCGCTCGCCGCTGCAGCTGGACTTGTGCGTGCGATTTCCAATCTCATAAACGCAGGGTCTATTCACCCACCACTACTGTGTGCTTGTATGCACGTAAGCGGGTGTGTGCGTTTCACCACTGTGCTGCGCTATGCGCGATAGTGAACTATACTTATAAAGGCACATCGATGTAGACACACACAAACACACTTGAAGTGTATGAGTCTTGGCGCACATTATTTCTAGAACAAAGTCTATCGAAATCCACTTCATATTAATCAATCATTTGGCGAAACGTTTCGAATACATACAGAGTGTGGACACGAAAGAATAATGGATGATTTTCTAAGTCGTTCACCACTACATATATCCGTCATAGGCTGAAATTGGTTATTTTGAAGAGCCGTCTACAAGCTCGTCGAATTAATAAATGATACCACCATGTAAGCATTTTTTATAAAAGAGTAGTATAAAATATAGAAGGAGAAGACGCTTTTAAAATCGAATGTGGGCGTCTTTGTGGTATAGTACCTCGCTCTAAAGGTCTTGTGCCAAATACTTGTCGTAGCCACCTACGTATGCACAAAACTAGGCGTTATAATCACCGCTGTTTATACTTCACAGATTCGTTACATAGTGGAAACACAGGGTTTGCCACCACGCGACCTTCTTAAAATGGCAGGGAAGGCGAGCCGTTTCTTCGTACGTGATGCATTCACTTTTGAGTGGCGTCTCAAAACACAAGAGGAGTACACTCTCGAGACTGGTCAGCGTGCTAAGGAGACACGAAAGTACATCTTCAGCTCCCTGGACCAGATCCGTGAGGTCACACTCAACACTGGTGGTTCTGGTCCTGGTCTTGACGATATAGAGGTCAAAATGGAGTCTGACGACCGAATACATTTTACCGAGCTCCTCAGTCGAATGCTACAACTTCGACCTTCTGACCGTATTCTACCTGACAATGCTCTTCTTCACGCTTTTATTACAATGTCCTATATGCGGGCCTACCCCTACCGGAAACGGTGAGCCTCTCTCTGTGCGCATATGTGCAGGCTTCATTGTTGTTTACGTGGGTGAAATGTTTTTGTTGACTTGCTCAAATCGGCATCACGTGGTAGCTTAGGCATCATTGTTGTATCAGGACTTGTTTTAATTCAGGTTAGTGGTTCTGCGCTTGTTTTTGCACAAATGAATTCCATTCAATCTTCTGAACCAGGGTTCGAGAATCCATGGATCTAATGCGTGTCTGCTATCAATCTCGCTGCAGCCAACACAACCTTGAATTGGTCAATGCCGTTCAACAACACCAGCAGCAACAACAGCAGGAGCAAGCTATGATAGATGAGGCTATTTCTACTCGAGCTGTAACTGCTTTCGCTACGCAACAGCATTTTCTGTCTTTCGGCAATTTTCTCCAACCTCCCACGACCTCTGCTGACCCCGGTTGCCATGACCAAAGACATCCATCATCCGCCTACTACTTTACCCCGCAGCAGTCAATCCCATCTCCCATCTACTATCACCAACATCCACAACAAAAGCACCAACAGCACATTCTTCGTCCTCAACCTCCCCCACCACCTCCACCTCCTGATTGTCAAGCCTCCTCACTTTACGACCAGTTGATTGCAGCAGCATCACCTTACGCGGCTGCCCATGTTATGGCTCCTCAACACCCACCACCCCCTCCCGCACAGGCTCAAAGCCACCAAAACGCAGCTGCAGCTGCAGCCGCTGCCTTCATGATGCAGTCCGCCATAATAGCTGCTAATGGCACCTCCTCCACAAAACCCTTGTCTCAGTCTAGACCCACTGCTGGTGGTAGCAGTGGGGATCATGCTATGACTGCCACCGCTTTAGCTGCAGCTTTTGCAGCTACAGGCTACACCAACAAAGGAGCTGGCGTCAGGGACGCACAGTATGTTCTACCTTCTAATCAGGAAGCCATTCAACAGTTGTCCAGTGTTGAGTCCTCTGCGGGAGTCAATCAGGTCTGTCCCATCCACATCTCTACAGCGATGATTGAGGTTTTGGGCCTCATTTTCATTTGTTTCTTTCCCCAGAATATCGATTATTTGGTGAATTGCATGTCCGGAGTGCTACCCGAATCCACGGGATGCTCGTCGGCTACGCACACACTCCAGCGGCGTCAATTGCGTCGGTCTGAAAATGATATGCCTCTCTTCTTATCCTCCTCCTCTTCCGCCACCTCCGCCGCCTCTCAAACTCTTTTTTACAGTTCCCCTCACCAGTACCTGTCACAGCATGTGCCGGCTGCTCCGCCTATCTCTCTCATCTCCCCGCATCAGCCACAGGCACAAATACAGGTCTCAGCACAACAACCGCAACAAAATTCTGACGTTGCAAATAGTTCTGCAGCTATGGTGGCTACTGCTTCCTCGTTGGCTGCTTTGCGCCAATTCATATTGAACGGCAACACCCAGACCGATCTCACTACCACTAACAAACTCATTTGGGAGAGCATTATGCACGAACATCAACAGAAATCTGGTTTTTTCACCGGATCTGACTTCAATTTCCCACCATCTGACCTTTACTCGGTGCGTATTGTCATCCTTTTCATTAAAAAATGTTACCATTGTTAATAGCAATGGATAACTTAATTACTTTCAGGTCGACACTCAGCTCTTGAAAGTTGTGGAGACTATTTACAGTTCACAAATCTTTGTATTCTTGGTGTAGATGAGTGCGTTTAAATGTGTGAGTATTGACACTGTTGCTTCTTTTGGTTCTAGCAATTGGTTCAGTTGGGAAAGCAGAAGCAGGCGTACTACTATGGCCAGAAATGTCAATTTCTGCATTGTGGTGAACAGCATCATCAGAAACAAGTTTCATCACAACCATTTTTGTCACTACAAGCGCCTTTGCATCCACCGCCACTTGCGGCGTCAACGCCCACATCGCCATCGGGGCCATCACAGCAGCAACAACAGCAGTTCACAGATCCGCCGTTCTTTCTTCAGGGGCTAACACCACCTCAGCCTCTTCTGCAGTCTACGTCAACACCCTTCCCACTTCCATATCAGCCCTCAGCAAGGACTCATGATGCTGTTCAGTCGGCGGTGAATCTCGTACACCACATCTTCCCCCATAGTTGCCAGCGTTCTGCCTCCTCGTCCTCCTCTCGTGCTGGAGATGGGGGTGGTAACGGCGGTGAGGTCGAAAGGGAAGGAGTAGTGAATATCACTTCGGGCTTTACCGAATGTCATTCCAATATAACTGACGGCGACGGTCCCGTAGCCAGCGCACTCCGCTCTCCATCCTCTCCAAATACCGATGTCGTCCTTGAAATGCCCGTTCTTGCACAATCTTCACCTTCTTGTAAGGTTTCTGTTTATAAGTTTTACCCCTTGCTATCTTGATCTGTCATATTACGCTGGTTATCCAGGAATAAATCGGTGTTATTCATTTGTGTCTGCACTTTTGGAGGCGAGATATCAAATGAACCACCGAGAGTTTGATGACGCCGGCAGATTTTTATGCACTTCTGTAGCATTGCCCTAGTGCACGCACTCCTCGCTAACAGTACAATAAATAGGCGTCTTTATTCTCTATTGCCTTCCTATCTGCGTCTTTGACATCAAATTGCGCAACTTTGTAGTACTGTTTCTCACTGCCCGGGTTTATAAATTTACTTGACTACCTTAAAGATCTTTTCATCCCAGAGCTTGGGTCTCAGTTAATTTGCCCTCCTGAATTCAGTACGATTACTTCACGCCATTTCGCTATCCTCGAGTACCTCTGATATGTGTGTGACTATTCAGACAATTAGGTGTATATGGAGACTGAACGAAGGGCTTTTGTGATAGCGGTAGAAAATTGTGTTGTTACTAGCCTCAAGCTGATTAGCAGTGATGGTTTTTACTACGGAAGCCATCAGTTTTCTGTCGTATTTTGTACTTCTATTAGTGCACAGGCGTGCCATGTGTCTCACTAGCTGCAAGCATAAACGTGTAACTAAATTGATTGAAGCATTCCTTCAATTCTTCCCCAGTTGTTTGTGCCTCTTCGAACTCGGGGGAACGGTCAGGGCCCCCAGAGGTTTTGGGGGCCATGAACACAGATGTCAGTCTCGTCTACTCTGACATTACTAACGAGGGTGAATTGGAGGAGGACGTTCATAAAACGACTGGTGTCGATTCGAAAGGACAGGAGACGGCGGCAGCAGCAGACAAGAATAGATCGCCCGAGTAAGTTTCTTTGAGGCGTTCACCTGCTAGATCTCCTCTATTCAATCATCATGAGGAAGGTATTGTGCGATGAGTGTGTAGCATAAGTTTATAATGATGTCAAGTCGCTAGTGCATCAAAGGCCACTAACCTCCACTTGAGGTGGTGGAATGTTTTGTCCAACGTCTGGTCTATGTTGTTTTTACTAATCTCCCCATATACAAGAATGGTCGATGATTGTCTGTATGTGACGTACGCTTGCAGTCATCCCTTCCGCCTTGTGCAGAGCGCGTGTCCACACTTGCACTGACAAACAATTGACGATCGTAGATTATTGAATGCTTTATCTCGTATACTTGTAGGTGTAGGTGTGTGTGTGTGTGTGTGTGTG